AAAAAAAAAAAAAAACAAAACATTGAGCTCACTGTGCAGCCCAAGTGGCTTCAAGTTCCCTGGGGTCTTCCCAGCCTCAACCTCTCCCTAGTTCATTTTTTAAGTAAGCCTATGTTAAGTTGGAATATCACTTCCAGTGGTGACACTGACTGTATGTGTAAAAGTATAAATAGAAAAAAAGAATGAAAAACTTACTTTCTTATAGGAAATACAAGTAAAATCAACCACATGCTGTTACTTTCATAGCTTTTTGTGTTAACACAGTCACAATGGTAAACAAACTAATTTTAAATTCTTGAAACATTTGATCCCAATAGCCTAAAGCAAAACCTCCACATCTTGGTTTCTGAAGCCCAGCGGGACAAGACAGCGACTGAAAATCTTGGTAGGTCTTTCAGACAGCTTCAAGCCTCTTCTGCCTCAGCCACATACAAGTCATGTTTTATGTGTAGATATCTCGGCAGTTTCAGCTGATGATGTACAGTAAACAGACCTGGGAAACATACACTGCCCTCGCAGGCCACCTGCTGTGCAAAGGCAGAGTGGCTGTGGCAGGGGAGCAGAGCACACTGCCTTTCTTCTTCCTCGTGGGGCACAGACAAGATCTAGACATGACTTCAGACGCTGCCTCTGTTTCTCTCCCATGGTCTCAGGCCTAGTGCGATGGAAAGTTGTTGTTTTGTAGTTCTTAAATCAGGCCATCAACAGAAATGTGCGGTGAGCCTCAGCAGCATCATCCTGAGTGCACTGGCTCAGTAGCTAGGGAAGCAGCAAGCAAGGTGGGCAAGGGTCCCAAGGTTGCTTGGGAAGGGAAGGGTAGTCGAGAAATCTGTATTTTTGTTGCCATGGCACTGTCCCAGGCGACCCTCTGGATGGTCTCATCAGGAAGGCACCTTAACTGGACCAGTCTGCTGACCTGCAAGCCTTGTGTGTGTCTCGTACAGTGGGGAATGGATGCTCTGAGCGAGGGCTGCACTGCACCTGACTGGGGCCGCAGAGCTGCCGCTTACCATGGAGAGAGGAAGTGTTCCAAAGCAGTGTGCCTGCTCCTTACAAAGTGTCCCAGATTTGTTTCTCTTTTTGTATTTGGCATCACAGATAATACTACTAAGAAGCTAGAGGCTGGAACTGATAGTTCACTTACAAATGATAAAGGAATTACGGTCTCTACAGTAAATTTTTGCACCAGTATGACAGCTACCAAAGCCAAGGAGATGATTCTTAAGAAGTTAGTAAGAAAAGCTAAAGACACTTTGGGAGCTCCTAAGAACAGCAAGGTAATCACCTCCATTACCTGTTAAGGAAGCTTCCTACTATCAAACAATAAGTCAATTTAATGGATACTGATAAAAAGGAAAGAGTGTTTAGTATATACTCCTGAGCAGCCCCAGAACCCTAGCTCTCCAATCCATGTAGTTGTTAGCGCAGGGTGACCAGTACTGACTGAGAACTAGTAAGGCCAGAGTAACTAGTAAGGGTGCTGAGTAACTGGGCAATCATTAGCAAGCAAGAGAAATTTTAGTCAGTTTGTGACACAAGAAACAAGAAACCGAGTTTCTCACTAAAAACCGATGTTAACAGTTACAAATTAGGTAATTAGATAATTTAAAGTAAAGAGCTATGTGTATTTTTTAACTAGTCAATTGTTTTACAAAAACAGCCTAAAAAGGTGAGACACAGAGGTCACAGTCAGGGTGCTTGAGGCCTGATGTTCTCAGAGGAGGAAAGTACCAGGTTTAAAACTGAACATGTGTCTGAGTTATCCCCTGGTTGCTCGTGACAACAGCATTTGCATTAGAATTTTTAGTATAGTTCCAGATCATAGTCTTATTCCCAAACCAGGGTGTACTGCATAAAAGTCCATACAGCAGTACCTTGCCAGTAAGAGGCATTCAGTAAGGACATTCCTCAAAAACAGTAGGCACATTCCTTTGTAATAGCCACAATTACTTTATCAGCATCAAATGCATTTCTCTCACCAGATTATAGGTCCACTGAGAGTGAGTTAGAGTTCCTGTTATTTTGAAAACCTGTTGTTTTCTAAAATCATATCTGTAAAATAGATTTTGATCTGCTAGGTTTTGTTTTGTTGTTACTGTTTTTATTTTTTGTTTGTTTCTTTTCTAAGACTGAAGATCAAAGCCAGGGCCTTCACACTGAGCTACACTCTTTAGCCTTTTTAATTATTTTATTTTATTTTACTGAGACAATGTTTCACTAAGTCTCTAAGTTGCCCACACTGGGCTCATACTTACAACCCTCCTGCCTCTGCGTCCCAGCATGCTGGGATTCTAGGTGTACACCACCATGCCCCGCTTGATCAGCTATTTGTTAATGGAAAAATAGATGTTAATGCCTGTAATTTTGTTCTTGTAACAAAGCATAATTGATATTCCTGGTTCAGAATTTCAACAAAGGCTGTTTTAATTAGTGGGTTGAATGTACTTGTCTCCCTTCAGGCTGTAATATTCATTGACGACTTGAACGTACCAGTGCCAGATGCGAGTGGAGCACAACCCCCGCTGGAGCTGGTCAGGCAGCTGCTGGACATGGGAGGGGTCTATGACACACAAAGAAACGTGTGGAAGGTACAAAACACACTGAGACTGTTCACCTTAAGTTGGTTACCTGACAGCAAATCAAATATTTGTAACACTGTTGAGTGAGTTAAGTGAGAGGTTCAGAAAGCTTAGCCATTTGGACATATTAAAGTCTGAGGCCTTAAATTAACTACACCAATATGTCTTTGCAATTTAAAACAGGTTCATGGGTTTGGAGAAGCTCTACTTTTGTAAATTCAAATCTTAGTAAGCACTGCAGGTCCGCCCTAAAGGTTTAGCTTCTGAGTCAACGCTCACCGTTGCTACCTATATCAATAATCAGATTCTCAGTGCATCTGTAGTCAGTACACATGAGCAAGCTAGTGAAATGGCCTTCCAAACGCATCTGCAATCTCTGCATAAAACTTTCTTTAAGAACTTAGAGCAAAAGTTTTTTGAAGCATTGCATAATCAAAAAATTCCCAGTCAGGTGTTCTTGTACACACTCCTTTTCTGAGGAACTGCCACTCTTGTTTTCCAGAATGGCTGCACTGATGCGCATTCCCACCAATAAGCTGTGAATTTCCTGCCTCTGAGCTCGCCAGCAGTGGTTCTGTCGGCCTTGTTGTGTTTGGCTGGTTGGTTTAAGATTCCGGGGAGGGGAGGGGAACCTGGCTCATGCACATGCTGCCAGAAGAGCATCCCCCCGAGTGACACTGGCACGCTGCCCCCGTGGTTTAGATTTGCATTTCCCTCATGATAGCTAATGTTGGGCACTTTTCATACGCCTGTTAGGGAAATTCCTATGTTTTCTTTCATTACAATTTCTTGCTCATTTTTAATTGGGTTACTTGTGGGTTTGGTTTTTTTAAAATTTTATTTTGAGCTTTGCTTTTGAGAGGTTTGAGTTCCTTACATATTCTGAATGTCAACCCCTTACTGGTATAAATACTTTTTTCTTCCACTCTGCAGGTTGTCTTTTCACTCTGTTGATTATTTTTGCAGTGCAGGAGCTTTCTAATATGGCATTGTCCTATTTGTCTATTTCTGCTTTGTTGCTTTGTCGTTTTGAATGTTACCCCCTAAATCCTTGCCTGGACCAATATTATAAAGCATTTCCCCTATGTTTCCTTCTAGTGCTTTCATTGTTTTGAGTAATGGTTTGTTTTTTTTTAAAAAAATGGGCTATTTCCTCACAACATTCAGGTAGCATATCTTGAAATTACATTTTAGGATAGGTTACTTCTAAGAACATGGATTTCTATGACCATTGTGACTTTGTTTTGCAATACATGGTAACCTCATCCTATTTGCCCAAATGTTTTCTCAGTCTTTTGTTCATTTGGGGTAGAGAAGAGGGCAAGCTAGCTACTCTCCCACATTCCTTCAGGCACTGTCCCTCTTCACTCTCCCGCAGAGCGTCCAGGATCTGTCTGTGGTGGCAGCGTCCTATGTCCCTCCAGTTGGTGGGCATGATGTCAACCCACGTCTCCTCAAGCATTTCTCTGTGCTGGTGCTGCCTCATCCTCCACAAAGTGCCTTACATTCTATTTTCGAGGTAATACATGTAGTTCAGTTTCTGCTGAAAAAATTCTAATTCCATAGTATAAAGGAAAATGTAAGAATTTATAACCACTAATATTGAAGAACATTCTCTAATGGGCTGGATTTTATTTTCCCCTATGTTTGTGTCCTATTGTTATCATTTGTCTCTTAATATAAAAAATATAGTGCAGTATATATATATATATATATATATATAAGGGAAGACATGTAGCGCATATTTAGTGCATGTTGAAAATGCACATCCCAGGACTTAATTCTCAGCGATTCCAATCCAGTAGATCCTGGGTGGAACTTGAGAATCTGCCTTTTTCTTAACATATGCTCTCTGACCTTTGTTCTTTTGCATTTTCTTATAGAAAGAAAACCTCTGAGAGAGCTGTTATGGCAGTATGGACTTGCATACATGTGTACTCTCTTCCAAAACAGACTCTTCTTCAGGTGTATATTATTGACCACCTGAATCAGAATTACCAAGGACTTTGGAAAAAATGAATTTTAAAATTTACCTTTACATTTTATAATCTAAAGAAGGAAATACCCATATCAGTTTTGAGAGATGTAGTAATCTTTCAGAAGATTTATTTTTCTAATAATATTAGATTTCAAGTTGAGCCATTTTCTCAAATAAGATATTTCGGAGTTTTCAGAAGGAAGCATGCATGTACCCCAACCCAGACTGAAGTCTATAATTTTACATTTCTTCTAGTAACATCTCCCAGGAGCAGGAAAGTGAGAGAATTAGCAGCACACCTGGTGCAATAGAGGCAGGACACCAGTTGGACCACAGCAGTGTATAATCTGTTTCCTAGCAAAGATTAACCAGAAATAGGCTATACCTGAAATCTTGAGGTCTATACTTCAGTTTTTTAAAAACTAAATTACAAAACTTCTTTTCAAAGGTTCACTTGGGATTGTATTTCTCCATCAATAACTTCACATCTGATGTCCAGAAATGCAAGGGTCCGATAATATCTTCTTCCCTGGATATGTATCATCACATATGTAAGCATATGTTACCAACACCCACAAAATGCCACTACATGTTTAACCTTCGAGACATGTTTAAGGTTTGTTTCAAAATAAATTCTCCAGCTTATTTTTAAAATTTAAATTGAGAACATGTAGTTTTACTGAATAGGCTCTCTGTCTCTGTCTCTGTGTCTGTCTCTCTCTCTCTCCCCGCTCCTTTTTTTTTTTTTTTTTTTTTTTTTTTGGTTTTTCTCCGGTACCGGGAACCAAACTCATGACCTTGCGCTTGCCAGGCAGGCGCTTTGCCACTGAGCTAAATCCCCAGCCCCTCCCCGCTCCTTTTTATTGCTATTGTCAGCATGAAATTGTTCAAAGGGAAAAAGTGAAATTCATGTTGATTTTGCTGTTTATTAGCAGCTTATCCCATGAATAAGTTGAAAATAATTATCCAAGTAATTCCAACCAGAAAATTCAGTGATGAAACCACTACAATATTGGCTGAGCAGGAAAAGAAATGACATGGGTTATAAGGTAGCTTTTGGTTTTGCTTCCTTTCTGAGGTCTAATTTGGCCATCAGAAGATGATGGCCTGTGTGTGTACATGGTAAGATAGCTGGTTGAATTTTCACAGATTTTGCCAGGAGTGTGGCTTTGGTCATTCTCCTTGGTTAAATTATTTTCAAAATTGTTAGGGAAAACAGACCTTGAATTTGGTACCTTTCTCCCCTTCCTATGGGACTTCAGCCCTCACTAGCACATGTGATCTCTGAAATGGGTAATTAGGGCTTTTTAATCCAAATTTAGAATACTGAACACATCAACCTTAAGAAGCACCCCCGCTCCAGGCTGGTGCCGCGGTTTCCCATCCTGATAACCTGTGCACAGTGTAGCCCCTAACTCCCTTCCATCAGGCTGCTGCTGTGCCGAGTTTCCTTGACTTCTAGCTTGCCCATCTCATCAGAATTTCAGGGTGTCCCTTGTAGAAACTGGTAGTTCTTACCTTGCACAATTGCTTCTGTCTTTATGGACTGTGAATCTTTGCCTCACACACCACCCTCTGGCTGTTTCTGAGCAGCTTCTGCTAGGCCTTCTGCAAGCTGACAAGGCTGTCATTAACTCTAAGGAAACGGTTGCCCTGTTCTTCGTACATGAAGCTTCTCGTGTATTTCATGACCGCCTCATGGAACCTTCTGAACAAACCATTTTTTATCAGGTGCTCTCAAAGGAACTGGAGAAGTACTTTGAGGTAAGTTTACACTTTACAAGTATTTCAAATAGAATCCTGCCTCTTCCCCCAAAAAAGTTATTTTATGGAAATCCCTAAGCATTTCTCTAATGTTCGTGAAAGCACCTTTATCTTAACAGTTTCATCTTTCACTTGAAATGCGAGAGAGCAGAGGTTGAGATGACGGCGGGGAGGGCTCCCTACCTTTATTCATGCCGTGGGTTCCTGGGAGCTTCTGAATGGCGGGTTGCCTCCAGGACTGGCAGGACTGTCTCAAGATACTTCGCCAGTCTCTTACCCTCCCTACCCTTTGCATTTTGGTTTCTCAATGCTTGTGCTTTCGCGCAGGTCATGAGTGAAAGTATTTCCCAGGCTGGGTCACAGGGAAAGGGTGTGAGTACGTGGAGCAGTGCACCTGGCCCGTGACTGTCTCTGCTCTCCCTGCCTGTGAGCATCCAGGAGGACGACTCGCCGGGGCGACTCCCCTTCCCTGTTCCTCTTGTTTGGCAGTGCCAGTTCCTCTCACTCCTCATAGAAGTCTAGGAAATAGAAAATTCAAAAGCACAACTACACTTTACAACAGTAAAAGAGATTTCTAGAAGATAAACTTCATATAGGAAGATAAATATAGTTTTACACACATGCACATAACAGAAAATACAACATATATATATGAACCTGTATTAGTACATGTGTGTATATGTGTGTGTTTGAGATGCACAAATTCATAAAGATACTTAAAATTCCTCTACATATCCCATCACTGTTTTCTTTTAATTCAAATTTTCTGTTCTTCAGCACAGACACATCTTGATACAATTAAGCATGTTGCCCCATATGGTTTCTGCCCTCCAGTCTCTTTCTGATATCTGCTAGAATGATGTTTCCCCTCAGCACTAAAGATAGCCTTTTCTTCTCACTCACTGGTCCCCAGCCTTCCGGGCTTCTCTGGGTACACTCTTCTTCCTCTTCCTCCCTAGGCACTCCTAGGTGATACGGCAGCGGCATCTCGTCCCTTACTTCCTCCTACTCTTGCCCTCACTGTCCGCTGGTCACAGCCCGAGAGACAGAGGACACAAAGATGACAGACACAGCCACTTCTCTGGGGGCCATGACCACCTCCTCTGTTAGAAGGCTATGCGTCAGCAGCACAGGACTCTGTCTCAGTTTCTTCTCTGCTACAGGAGGGGCAGTGATGTTGCCTACCTCACAGCATTCTGGTGGGACATCATACACCAACATAAGTAAAATGTTTAGGAATATCTCTGACACCCAGGGAGTGCTCACTAAGTGCAAGCTGTCGTAACACTGAAGAGAACTAAACCTTATATCTGTGTTTCAAACTCCTGATGATGGGTGGTGGAAAGACGTGAAATCTAGAGACCTTGGATTGACCTCTATATCTATTTCGTGTTAGAACATTTCATACTCAGTATGTGTTAAGACATTCCAAACTCCAGTCTGAGTATCCTCTCCACCATGAAGAGGTTGGGCTTATCAATATCAGCAGCCAGATCTCTATCCGTGCCCAAAATGTGAACAGTGTGATCCCTGCTCCCTCTGTCTAAGCACCCGCAGGCCCTGCCTTGGGACAGGCCTGGCCACCATTTAAAGCACAGTTCGTGAACACAGAGGAGATGCTGAAACACAAATCATCCATGTTCTCTCTTATATGTGTAATGTAAAGCCGTGAAATTCACAGAAGCTGAGAGTAGACTAGGGGCTTGGAGGAGTGAGGAGCTGATGATCAAAGGGTACCAACACCAAGACAAGAGAAATAAACATAGTATAATAGTAGTGTTTATACATTTCAAAAACACTAAGAATAAATATCACCATGGAAAATCCTTAAGTATTTGATGTGATAATATATTAATTTTATTTATCATTTCACATTGTATTCATAAGTCATAACATCACTGTGTATTCCATAAACGTATTCAACCATACTTAGTCAATAAACAATAAAAATACATTTTTAAATTTTCAGCTCATGCTTTCTTTCTCTTAGTGATCTTTTCTGGCCAATACCACCCCATTTCCAGATTTAGAGCCCTGAGTCATATTTTCATAGTACTATGGGATTTTCCTTTCATAAAACTTACTATAATATAACTGCCTGTCTCTCCAACATGCAAGTTACTATAACTGCCTGTCTCTCCAACCTACAAGGCACACTCATGGAATTTTATCTTCTCCTAAATCTTCAAATTTAGCATCCTCCCACACCCAATATGTCTAGGATGAATACATGAGGAATGGAAAGACTTAATGCTCTGAATAGAGTTTATGTCTGTCTTGGGAGAAGTTGCAACTGTAATTCAGTTTTAAGAATTTACCACACCAAGGAAGAGATGTAGAGGAAGTAGGAAATAAACAAGAAAATGTAAGGGCCTTGACCTAGCAGGGTCAGTAGTATGGACAGGAAGAGCAGCTACAATACCCCAAATTAAACACGGTATTAACCAACTCTTCCTTAAGAACAGGAGGATATAAATTACTTCTGCGCAAATTTGGGTTTATGTAGTGTATTTTAATTACTTGATTGTTGGCTTTTTAAAAAAAATATATGACATCAGAAAACGGAAAGACATACTGCGTTCCAGAGCAAGCAGAATCAATAATGTCATAATGGCCATACTACCAAAACTGATATATAGACTTAACTGATTTCTAATCAAAATACAAAAGCATTCCTCACAGAACTAGAAAGATCCTAATATGTATATGGAAACAGAACAAGCCCAGAATAGTAAAAGCAATCCTGAGCAACAAAAACAAAGCAGGAGCCATCACAATCAGATTTCAAGCTATATTACAAAGCTATAGCAATATAGTACAGGCACAAAACGTCATGCAGATCAGCAGAACAGAATAGAAGACACAGAAACAACCCCAGGCATATTAAGCTATCTGATCTTTGACATAGGGGCCAAAAACATACATTGGAGGAAGGATAGCCTCTAACAAATGGTGCTGGGAAAACTGGGTATCCATATGGAGAAAATTGACTCTAGACCCATGTCTATTACCATGCACCAATAAATAAATAAATAAATAAATATGGATCAAAGACCTAGATATTTAAACAAAAACAATCTGCTAAAACATGAAATAGGTACAATTCTTGAAAACATAGGCACCATCAAGGACTTTTTAAACAGAACCCCAATTGCATAAGAAATAACATCCAGAGTCAACAAATGGAATCATATAAAATTAAAAAGCTTCAAAATAGCAAAGGAAACAACCAACAGAATGAAAAAAAGAAGCCTACAGAAAGGGAAAGAGTTTGCCTGCCACTCTTCAGACAGAGGACTACTATCTGTAATCTGTAGAGACCCCCAAAATAAAGGACCCAGTCATAAAATGGGCAGGTGAAGTAGAAACTTCACAGAGGTTACAGATGACCAAATACATGAAGAAATGTTCAACATCTCTGGCCATTAAGGAAGTACAAATTAAAACAACACTGAGACCCTCTCTTACCCTAGAAAGAATGGCCATCATCAAGAAATAGGGAAAATTTTATACACACACACACAGGACAGCTAAGATAATTGTACCACTAATTTCTATTAGTTCATTGGAAGGAACAGTTAGTGCTTATATTCTTCATGCCTATATCTTGTAATCTGAGCAAGTACTTTGAAGATAACAATATGCGATATAGTAACCCTTGTTAATTTTCTATCATCTAGCTTTGAAATTCTGTATCATTTTATTAGCTCTTTTTCTCTCTTTAAAATAAAAAAATCAAATAATGGCAAATGCTGAGGAGACCAGTGAAAAAGGAACCTTCTGCATTGTTGGTGGGAATGTATGGTGGTACAACTATTATGGAAATCAATATGGAGATTCTTCAAAACACTGAAACTAGAATTTCCATTCAGCCCAACTATTCCCTTTCTAGATATCTTCCCAAAAAAGTTAAATATATTGTATTACAGTGATACCTGCACACCCATGTTTATAGCTGCACAATTCATAATTGCTAAATCTTGGGAGCAGCCTATATGTCTGTCAATACATAAATGGATAAAGAAATGTGGTATTTATACAGAAAGTGGTGTACTACTCTGCCATAAAGGATAAATTTGAGTCATTGGTAGCAAAATAGATACACCTTGGGACCCTAATATTTAGTGAAAATCAGACACATGGCTAAAATGTCACATAACTTCTCTTATATGAGAAACCCAAAGTATAAATAATTTAAAGATCAAAAGGGAAAAAATAGACAATAGGAAATAGGGAGATAAATGTATATATATATTTTTTCTAGTACTGGGTACTACAATGTGCCAGGCACTATTTTAAGCACTTTGCATGCCCGTACTCACATTCATCTTCACTCATAAGGACTCTGATGTGCACCTGCTACTTGCCTTATTTTTTTTTTTTTTTTTTTTTTTTTTTTTTTTTTGTCTTTTTGAGACAAGGTCTCGCTATGCAGTTCAGGCTGGCCTTGAGCTCACTTTGTAGCCCAGGCTGGTCTTGAACTTGCAACAATCCTCCTGCCTCAGCCTCCCGAGTGCTGGGATTACAGGCGTGTGCCACCACGCTTGCTGTCCTTATTTGACAGGTGAAACGAGAGGGGTTAAAAGCGTGCCCAAAGTTTTGCTCAGGATATCTATTGCCTGATAATCCCTAGCCATTGTACCCTACAACCCCCTAGCTGTCATCTAGCAGTTGCTGAACCAGCATCTTCTGACTGACCACCACGAGTGTCCCATGCAGGCCTCAGGGCAGCAAGTACTGAGGATGCACACAGTACTGGTGTACCAGATGCTAGCAGCCAGAGGCAGCAGGCAGTGCGCACTGTTGTGAGGCACCTGCAGGATGGAGGGTTTGCCTTGCCTGCTTTAGAGGAGTAATCGATCAGACTGCAGGTTTGGGGTGGTAGCTAACAACTGACAGGAAAAGTTCTTTACCCAGATTGTTGATAGATTGTAAGATCTCTGCAACGTACGTGTATCTCCAACAACCTGAAGTCCGTCAGCCCTCAGAGTTCTCAGACAAAACTGTATGTACAACTGCATTCTAAAGTGTTGTTCTGGGAAGAGGCCCCCAGGCTTCAGTGCCCAAAGGACTTCACAGCTTGAGAAGGCAGATTCCCTGAGTCCCAACTCCTTTGGGCAGGAGGTTCTATGACTCATATATGTTGATCTCGATGAGAAGCATAATCATGCTCTTATAATGTTATATTCTGATCCTACAATAGATTCAGTGGACACAGCAAAACCTCATGAATGACACAACTGTGTTTGTGGACTTTCTGGACATAAACAAGCCTCTCAGAAAAAAGATCTATCAGAATACTAATGACTATGATAAACTTGCTGCTGTGCTGAGTGAATTCCAAATGAAGTTGGGGTCAAAGTCTTTGGAGGTAAAGACATATATCCTATAAAAATCTGAGCGGTGCAACGTATGTACAGATATACATAGACACATATATATCTCCAATATGTTTGTGTGTGTGTGTGTGTGTGTGTGTGTGTGAGAGAGAGAGAGAGAGAGAGAGAGAGAGAGAGAGAGAGAGAGAGAGAGTAGGGTGGGAGAGGAAAGAAATGGCAGTGTCCCCTCAGGTTTCAAGAAAGACCCATAGAAATACAGTTTTACATTATTTTACCTCATTTTGTCTCACTTTTGGATTAATTTTAAAGACATGGATGCAGCTGAGGCTACAAGGAGTTAAATGTTTAGTGCTAATGAAGTTAAGAAATGCAACAGAGTGTGCTCTGACATGTTGCGGAGGAACAGCAACCTCCCGCTGTCTCCCCTGGTGTCCTGGGCAGAGAGGTGTTAAGACAGGGAAGCCAACAGATCACAAGTGCCGCAAGCCCGTGCCCCTCTCCCTTCACTCTCCTTCACCAATGGATGCCTAGTGCCACTCTGCAGATGTGGCAGAGGCGTCCTTTCCAAGATGCAGTTGAGCTAGCTGGTGGCTGAGATCTCAGACACCAAGGACTGACATTCTCATCCTGCACCTTCTGTGTACAACCACCAGGCACTCTGGGTTTTGCCAACCCTATCATTAGTTCATTTGTCACTGTTCCTCTGCTAGGTTTCTCATTCCATGGTGTTCTTCAAGGAAGCCATAGAGCACATCACAAGAGCCACAAGAGTCCTTCGGCAGTCAAGAGGTCACATGTTACTGGTAGGAATTTGAATTTTTGTGTCTGCAAAATAAAAACTAGGAAATGTCAATAAAATCTACTTTACAGTTTTATTCATCCATACTTTATGAAAAATCACAAGACTTAAATCCTAGGACAAGATCCTTGTCCTCACTCATTTGTGTAAGAAATTAGCTCACACATAAAACTGTTATATTTTTGGAAGATGCTTGATGTCAATAAAATCAGTGGGTCTGGCACTATCCCTTGTGCACACCTGCCTTAATATGACATCTGGGTAGGTGGGTCCTGACCTCAGAATAGGACACTAACTCAAACAAAGTGTGCTTCTCATGAGAACAAGTGGAAGCTAGGTCCTTGAAAAATTTCCAAATACTTTTAGGTAGAGAAAAGTTTTTGGAAAGCTAAATGAGATCCATAATTAGCAAATAAAATAAAGCACATTATTTAAGTTAAATAAAGCACATTATTTAAAACTATGTGTTACATTATTATTTATGCCTATTCTTTATTTTATACTTTATAGCTAGTTATTTGTAGTTTTTTTTCAAAGAAGACTTTTTCTTACATGTAGAAGATCTAGAGTTTTATTTATTATTCCTTCATTTAACAGACATTTACAATAAGATTGATCAAGAGGAGTTAAAAATTAGAAAATAGGATCAAGAGAAGAACCACAAAGCAAGTCCCTCCATCACCAAAAGCATTCCTTTGCTGCCGTTTCTATCTGGAGGTGGTGTTGCCCCCGCAGCTGTGCCTTAACTGTCCACGTGCATGGGCTCTCTTTCTCAGCTCTGTCATTTTCCACCATTTCCCACCATCTTGCATCCGTGAATCTAAAGTGTGGCTTTTATTGAATTTTATTCTTTTTAAGTGTGAAGGCCTTAGGTTCCATCCCCAGTACCAAAATATAGCAAAGAAGTAGCAGAAAGGGAAATGGCCAGGCTCACAAGGCACATGTGTGTGAGCCAAGAGTGCAGGAGTGACTCGGGGAGATGCAGGTTCGGTCCTTCCTGTGAGACAGCCAGCGGGTGCGCTGGTGAGAAGAGCAGAAGGCCTCTTTTGACAATTCACCTCCCCTGGGCCCCAGCCTTAGAGGCCCCAGCCCCAGCCAGTCACCACACTGGAGCAAGCCCTCAGCATGTAGAGCTTATCCACGCCTAAGAAGACACCGTGAGCATAGAAAATGCAGCCAGTAGCTCAGAAGTGTGATTGTACCAGTCCAGAGCAAAATATTAGCAAACCCAAACCAGCTATGTGTATGGAGTATGATAGACCATAGCAAGTGGGATTTATTCCCAGGAATGCGTGCTCAGTTTAATATACCAAAATCCATTAACATGCTGGGCATGATGGCGCACACCTGGAATCCCAGCACTCGCAAGCTGAAACAGGAGAATTGCTACAAATTCAAGACAGCCTGGGCTATATAGTGAGTTCAGTATGAGCCTGGACTACTTAGTGAGACCCTGTCTTAAAACAAACAACAAAAATTCATTAAATATACCGTATGATAGAAAAACCACACAAATCTCAATAGATGCCACCCAAAAGTATTTGATAAAATCCAACATATGTGATATTTTTAAGACACAGCAAGGAATAGAAGGGAACCTTGCCAACCTAGTAATGGGCACCTATGAAAACTTGCAGCCCTTTCCATGCTTAAGAGTGAGAAACTAAATGCTTTGCTTCTGAGATAGGGAGCAAAACAAGGACACCTGCATCCTAATTCCCGTTCAACACCACACTAGAGGTTCTAGGCAGGCAAGCGGACATAAGGGAATGAGGGACATTCACAGCGGGACAAGAGTAAATTGTCTTCACCCACAGTACACAGGGCCCTGTTACCTCAGAAAACCCTCAGGACAAACAGCTCGATTAGAAATAAACAGACACCTCACAAATGTGCATGAAAACGTGCTCCATACCGGTGCTCCTGGGGAACCCACAGTGAACCTCCACTCACACCTACAGAAGCAACCAGTCCCAGGGCCAGTGACTGTGATTACTCACCAGTGGGCCAGATGACATGCTCACTCCCTTGTTCCTGGTGGGAATGCAAAAGGGCCCAGTCCCCGGGAAGACAGCTAGGCAGTTTCTCACACGGCTAAGCATAGTCCTGCTGTTTGATCCAGCAAGCACACACCTCACTTCAGGCACTGGGTGGAGAAATTGGCTGCACATGACTAGAGGGGTCTTTTTAAAGTGATGGAAATGTTCTAAAACTGGCCTGTGTTCATAACTGCGTGAATCTGTAAGTTTACTAGAAGCATTGAATTGCATAGTCAGAGCAGGTGTTGTCTGTGAATTATATGTCAGTAAAGCTATATCATTTTTTAAAAAATGATATTGGCTTGGCCATCACTATCAGAGCATTTATCACTGTTCCCAATGAGTGTCTTCTTGCAATCAGATATTGACAATAATAGAGATTTATAAGTTTATCTGTGCTATTTTTCCAGACTATATTATTTTTCCAGTAAAATTGTATCATATATTTCCAAAAGCTATGACAATAAAAGATGAAAATATTAAATGTGGATGAGTGCCCTCTAAAAGTTTGATGAAATATTCAAATTATATTTAATATTCCTCCCAAAAAGATTATAAATAAAAATAATCTCAAGTTTATTTACTATGAAAATTTCTGGCACAAAGAAACAGAAATATGTATTGAAAGTTTCCGTGAAAATATATAAGAATCATATATTGAGTTTTTTCCTTCCAAAGATTGGAATAGATGGATGTGGAAAAGAAACTTGTGCAACGTTGGCCTGTTATTTGTCAGAACACAAACTATCCCGCATGCCTGTGTCTCACAAATATGCCTATGTAGAATGCAAAGAAACCTTTAAAAAAGTGTTTATTCAAGCAGGGATGGAAGACAGCCCCACTGTTCTGGTGGTTACTAACTTACACCAAGAACAAGTAAGTACTTTCTGTTTTTTTTTTTGTTTTTTTTGTTTTGTTTTGTTTTGTTTTTTGTTTTTCTCCGGTACCGGGAACCGAACTCACGACCTTGCGCTTGCTAGGCAGGCGCTTTGCCGCTGAGCTAAATCCCCAGCCCCCAGTACTTTCTGTTTTTTGTTGTTGGCTAACATTTGGCATTCATTTAGTACCCCCCACCCAAGAAACTTAATCTTTAAAAAGAAGATAAGGAGATATTTACATGTAGCCCTACTGGGGTCAGTCAATTCTTGTCATTATTCTCTGTCCTTATCTAGTTGTAGCCCATAGAGTTTATATATTTAATTACACCATAGTTTTGAATATTGCTGTTTTCCAAAGTATTTTCTATGTATCATTTTCATTTCAGTTGACAGTTTGGAAGTAATATATCTGAGTGGCTGAAGTCCCTCATCTTATAAGATGACTGTATTTTAAACATTACTGTACCCATTACTGCCATCCAGTCCTGGCACCCTCTGCTGGCCCACTGTGTGCCTGCGCAGCACTGAGGCCCCTGCTTCTCTCCTGTGCCCTCGTCCACCAGGGGCAGGACTTTCCTTGCAGGATGCACGCTCTTTATACACACCATTTTCTTAGCTGTGTTAGTTTGCATAAATTAGGCCCTTCTACAGCCAAAACATAATTAGGAATGCCACCCAGATATTTATTCCTTTGTGGAAAAATTTCAAGGGAACATTGTTCATTATTTATGTTCCAGAGACATAGTTATGAATATTGGTTTTTTTTTTTTTTTTTTGGTTTTTCTCCAGTACCGGGAACCGAACTCACGACCTTGCGCTTGCCAGGCAGGCGCTTTGCCACTGAGCTAAATC